TTTTTTTTTTTTTTTTTTTTTTTTTTTTTTTTTTTTTGGTACTGGGGATTGAATTTGGCACCTTGTGCTTGTGAGGCAGGAAGCAAAACCACTGAGCTAAATCCCTGGCCCCTGAACGAGATCATGTAGAAGATGTGAAAAGGCATGAAGTGAAAATAATGGAGGAACCATAGCATTAATACATGTTAGGTTAGTTTTTCCTGCTAACTTTTCATTTTTTTTAGTTCAAAAAAATAGAATCATTAGGATTCTTAAAAAGTACGATGTAAACTTAAATTCATACAGACAGGGGCAGGTGGGTGTTTAGCTGGGACCGGGGAAAGGGACAATGGGGACTTCCACTTAGTGGCATGGGGTTTCTTTTCATGGTGATGGAAATGTTTGGGAGATAGATCAGTATTGCACAATGCTGTGAAGATACTAAATGTTGCAGAACGGTTCCCCTTTATTTTTTGAGACAGGGTCTTGCCATGTACTCCGGGATGACCCTGAACTCACCATGTATCTCAGGCTGTCCTCAAACTCATGGCGATCTTCCTGCCTCAGCCTCCTGAGTGCTGGGATTAGAGGTGTGCACCACCACGCCCAGCTGTAAGTACTCGTTAAGTATAAGTACACCATTCCTGACTATAAGTACATGTCCAATATAAGGTATGTAATTTGATTGAAGATCTTCTAGTTCCAGAGGTGGGCCCTGAATCAGTTTTAATTTCTTTTTTGTAATGAGTGGAACTTTCCAGAATTAACAACTGAGCGACTCCTCCCGGCTTTAGCTCTTCATATCTTCTCAGGGCCCTCACATATTTGGTCTCATTACTCAGTGTATTGAAAAATGGTGGCTCCAGGAAAAATCCCTTTTCTCTTATACAGTAGCAGGTCTAACGAACAATAACAAAGGCCTACAAAGTTGCTTTCACTTGGGGACCTCCAATCCCAGCAAAAGAAGACTGTCCCAGAAATCCCTCACCAAGACATTCTTGTTGAGAGTGAGAACTCTGTCTACTCCTTGAAATTCTAAATTTATTGAAAATGCGCTGAGTTTACCATCAACCCAGGTCATGTGACTGGCTTGGACCAATTCAGCCTGGACTTACAGGTGACAGCCAAACGCTCCATTGGACCCAGTAGAAGCTGTTCTTTATTGGGTTTTTCCATAAAAGACTCAACAGCTTTCTGCATGCTGTCCAGGCATTTACAGCTGCACAGAGAAGCGTGTGACTCCACCTAACAAGCGCCTGGGAGTCAGCAACCATTCCAATCGCTATCTGGAAGAAGAGGTGGAAATTTGAACCAAGTAGGTTCTGCAGTGTGACTGAAAGGCCGTGTACAGAGGCATCCGGGTGCCAGTGGCAAACCTGGAGCTGCGACCTCATGTTTCTCTGGACAGCATCGTTCCCACAGCCCAGAGAAGCCAAGCAGCTGCTCTTTGACAAGCACAGGTACTGCTTCAACGTACCAGGCTCTGCCCTCGGTCCCCGGTCCTCTTGGACAGGAGAGGTCACAGTGAGACCCGGACTGAGACTTCTGAGCAGCACTGATCCCCTGCCCCAAGTGGACCCAAAGGGGACAGAGGATACTGTCACCCCTCCTAGGAGGGGGTTCTTATAAAGCTGTCATTACATGTCCCTTCACTGATGAGGAAACGGAGGTTCGGAGGGGTTCAGCAGCATTCAATAAAACCTCTATAGTGTTCCACCACCTGCCTCAAAAGCATAAGGCCCTGAGTTTGATCCGGGTACGAAAAAAAAAAACTCCACAGTGAAGCAGTGGGAGTACGCCTAGATTCAGGGCCTCCCTGGCTCCCTGTACAGTGCTTTTGGGTCCTCCAGAGAACGAGGCCCACACCCTAAGTTTAAGGCCTAATGCACACTGGAACAAGTGTGTAATTTCCACGGCTAATTCTCAGCCAGCTGCCAGGCACTATGAGCCTTAACTAATGACTGGTTTGCCTCCCTACAAGGAAAGAGTACCCCGAACAGATCCCCAGGCACCCCAAATTTCCTGGTCAACAGGACATTGGGAACTGGGCTGACATTTCTGTGTATTCCACACCTCACAACCTGCTGTTTTTCAGAAAGGAAGTCTAGAGACACCATCGCCTCACTTATTTGCCTGCCTCCGTTGTTTTCAGAGCTCTTTCTTGCACTTGGTCTTGCCTGACTACCATGCCTACCTTAGCAATACGTTTCATTGGTTCTTTGAAAATTCCAGGATTTCCAGAATCAACCTGTTCAAACAAAATACCTTTAAACTTTTATTGGCTCATGCCTTGGCAGTAGTTGGCAGCTTGCTGAGAAATAGGCCCTGGGCAGTGGGAAATAGAGGAGGACAGGTTGGGAGAAGGTCAAAGAGAAAAGAATAATGGGGCAAGTTGGGGTGGGGGGCTCTAATAGCCCCTAAGCAATCCACGTTACAGTGGGGCGCAAAAAGCTTCCCCTGAACCTCATCCTGAGAAGAGGCCTGCTTTACCCATGAGGTCAAAGGTAAAGAAAAAGCAGAAGAAAAAGAGAAGCCGCAGAGGGGGGAGGGGGAGAGATGGAATAAAGCAACCATCAGAGGCTGTTCAATCTCAGTTCATTTTATTCTACAAAATGCTACTCGATGGAAAGTGGAAAAGCTAACAACAACAACAAAAATACCGCGAGGGAAAAATGTTTTAATAGGTTCTTTCTTCCATAGCAGCAAGCTTTTTCTAACAAGCTTTCTTTAGTGCAAATACTGTAGGCTTGTCACATACAGTAAAACAACAGAACAAAACAACGACAAATACCACCAGAGATGCTTCTGAGCAGAGCTACTCCTCAATTTCCAGAACTATACAAAGATTTTGGGCTCACAGTCCTGCCTGGAAAGGTTGATATAAGAGATGCTCCAATAGGCCCAATTTCACCATTACTTTAAAAATCAGGGAAATAAAGGTGCCCAGAAAGGTAATGAAGTTCCCCGCAGAGCGACAGAAACCTTGTACAACTTGTTTTCCTCCCGGGTCTAAATAGCAGACTTCACTCCACATCATAACCGTATCTCAAACACCAATGCACAAGCTCGTGGGTTTCCACTGTACACCAAACTCTGTATATACATCGCCCACTGCAACGACACCTGATGCCTAGGTCTTTATACAAAGTCAACTGTTTTCTTCCTCAAAATCAAGTAACCACACACTAAAATAAATGGAATAATTTTTTTAATCGTTACAGAGAAAGTAATTTTTGAGGAACAGGGCAGGGTCTCTCATTGCGTTCTCTTACATTGCGTATTTCCTGGTACCCACTGTCCCCAGAGGAATGACAACCCACCTGTAGAAACAGAACCTTTTTATACAATTTATACAGCACGTTGCAAATCACTTTAGAAACAAAAAAGCAAAATTATTGTCATTAAAAAAAAAAAGGACGTGAGAGAGGAACTGAATATTTTAATGCTATGTTTCGATTCAGGCTTGGAACAACACAAAGATGTAAACATTTAAAATAAATAATAAAATAAATGTCTATTTCTTTTCCCCCTTCCCTTCTCATGTCCCACCGTCAAAATCTGACCCTACCCCTCCTGAATATGTTGTCAACATTAGACTATTAAAACCCTTTGTTGACACATGGCCCCAAACACAAGAAGCATGAGAAGATGCCAAATTGGTAGTGGGATGACTGGGTTTCCTTCTAAAAATCTGCAAGACACAGCACACTTGGAAATATACACATACGTGAACACGCACACATGCACGCGCGCGCGCACACACACACACACACACACACACACACACCTGTCAATAAATAGTAAGATGCTGGCTTTAAAGATGAATGCCAAGAAGACTCAACAAGCAGAACATAGCAAGACCCCTTTACTTAAGTTTAAAAAGGAAGTTGTACACACCAATATCCTATTGGTCCACGATTCTATAAAGATTCAGGTCACCCCTCCAGCCATCTGAGGGGTACAAAAGAGCACAGGCTGGGCACAGGAGGAGGGTAGCTAATAGGGGATGGGTCTTTGAGAACAAACTTCAGACTGAAGGCAATCTTACCTCGGGTCTTTGGAGAAAGACCTTCTCACCTCCAAGTGTTTTTATTTAGCTACTACTTGGGAGCCTTTTATAAGGGGATTCGCTCATCCCTTAATCTCATCCTAACAGGGGATAAATATGAAAGTGCCTAACAGTGCCTAGCATGTAGTAGGTGCTTATTCTTTTCCACAAAGGGCCACATGGATGTCAGATCAGGGAAGGAAATCAACCTGAAAGTTACACAGCGAGATTGTAAGGAGCACTGCTGGTCCATCACGGAAAAGGGCGAAACAAGCTCCCATGCTCCAGACAGGCCAGCTGCCCCCTCGTGACACTTGGGAGTCGAGTGGGATCAGAGACAGACTCCTTTCCCCAAAGGCTAAGAGAAGCAGCAGCCCCTGGTGGCTCTTGGCTTTGAGATGCTTGTCTGACTGGCCACAGGGAGAACATCTGGTCTCCCGACACAGAACGATGACTTTCACAACCACCTCCACCCCCAGGGAGTGCTCTGCTTGGAGTTGGCTCTGGAAATTTCCTAAGCATCACCTGGGATCTGCTCTTTCCTGTGTCAGCAGCTGTCCCCAGCCACCAGGACAAGGGGAGGACTGCTCCCAGGGAGGCCAGCCGTGGCCGCCTTCACACTAGCCAATGGAGGAGGGCCTGCAGTGTGCGTCCCAGGGCTGGCGCGGCCCCACTGCAGGCCACACAGCTGCCTTATGGCAGGTTCTCAGGGAGGTACAGCAGCTCCTCAGCCAGGCACAGACGAATCCCCACTCAGCTGTCCCCTGAGCTGGAACGGTGGAGGAGGGAGCAGCAGGCCAGGCGTCTGGTGATGCTGGAGCAAGGATGTGTATGCGAGTGCACTTGGACAACGAGCCAGGAGGGTGGGAACGGAGGGTGCGCTCCTGACTCGGTGTGAATATTCAGCCTTCCCCAAGTAACCTCTGGCCCTGGGGAAGCCAGACATCCTCCTAGGTTGAAGCAAGAGGTTCTGGAAGGACCGCAAGTCAGAGGCCTCTGAAGTCCCAAGAGCTGGCTGGTTCCCACACCAGGGGAGCTTGAAATCTGAACTGAAGCCAGACTCCGGCTCAGGAGTGTCCATTGTGGATCCAAGTCACAGGCTGACCTGCGCGGGGATCCACGCAGTACAGAGTAGTGCATAAAGGGGCTTTTAGAAAGAAAAGGCCAGAAAATAGCTTCATTTAAGATATATCTATATGCAAAAGAAGCAAGCAACTCCCACCTGGCTACAAATACCGCTTGAGATGACTGAGCTTTTCCAAGCTCAAAGCGCCCAGTTTTCTTCACCCATCTCTTTCTACTCCTGGCTGCCTCCAGCTTCTTTGCTTAATCTGAGATCAGAAAGCCAACTGGCCAGTCTTCTCGGGGGGGGGTACCCCTCCCAGAAGGCAGCCCAGGACACGGTAAAGAATGTGTTCAAAGCGTGTTAACCCTCCTCTCTCTAGGTGGCTGACTTTGCAAACGTCACTTCCAGTCCTGCTGGGCTTTGTATTTTAAGCTATGGCTCTTCCATCCTTTCTAGTGCACACCTAGGAGTGTGAAAGGAACAGGTGGCTGCTCTCTCCAGAGTTGGAAATTTAAATGCCATTGGGCTTGCCTTAAATGACATCGCTCCTTTAAATGGGTGGACAATGATGCCCAGAGCTGGATCCCCAACAGATTCCCCCTCAGAGCACTCTCCCCGAGGGGGCCAGCTGGGGAGGAAAGGCCAGGCCGAGCTGTGCTCCTGCCCGAGGTGGAGGGACCCATGGAAAGAGGGCCGCTCTCTCCCAGCCGTAAGCTACACATCCTAGCTCTGATTTCAGCAGCTGGAAAGATTCAACAGCCAGCCAGTGTGGCACAAGAGCTCCAAGCCCCAGTGCGCGGCTAGCTGAGTGCCGCTCGCTGGCAGGGCCAGAAGAGCACCCCGGGGTGAGGTGGGGAGCGTGAAAGCGACAGCATTCGCTCCATCTGGTGGAGGAGGACCACAGAGGGCAGGCAGGGCAGGCTGGGTGCCAGGCTGCTGCCACGACTGACACCGCCCCAGACACAGCCTCCTTCTCCAGGCCTCCTCCTGGGCTCGTCCATCCTCCGAGGCTTGGGGAGGAGCCACCTGCTGCAGTCTGGGGAGGGCCTAGGCCCACGCTCATAAATCTCTGTGGGTGGCGTCACCCTGAGAGCCGGGGGTGGGGGGTGGGGGTGGAGCCCAGCAGGGCCTGGAGTGTGTGTGGCTCCGAGGGAGGGACGCTCCCCAGTCTGGAGAGAAGGGTCCAGGGGCAGAATGGTGAGGCGGTAATTACAGGAGACGCCCTGCTCAAGACACCGGGGGAAGGGAAGCTGTCTAGGACACCATGTGGCTTTGTTGGCACTACTTCTGGCCTGGTAATTAGAGCACACCCAGAATGTGCCCGCCACCTCACTCACACCCTGTCTTCTGGCCACGTCGATCCTCCGAAAGCTGTCTCTGAGGGTGTGAAAGAAGGGTCCTTCAGGCCTCCTGGTGGCGGTGCACTTCCCGGGGAGCTCAGAGAACCCCGCCGGTGGTTCAGGCGGTGGCAGTGCCCGGGAGAGTGTCGGGAGGAAAGGTTCTGTATTGCACTTTGTCCCCTTCTGGACAAGTCGGCCCCAGCAGAAGAGTCACCTGCTGCCCCATCTCCAGACATGAAGAGTTAATATCCAGATTATCCAGATGAAATGTCATGGAAAATTTGATAAAAATCAAGGAGCAGAACTGACACTGGGGAAGGAGGGGGCAAGTTGAGGGGAGGTGAAACCAAAGGCACTGAGCATGCTTGGTGGGGCAGGGAAGGACACCATCACTCCAGAGACAACAACGTAACAAAGGGACAAGAACGTCCAGACCAGCTCCGGGCTCTTCAGAAGCCACCAGACCAGGTTCTCCACGGCTCCCCTCAAGGAAGGGTTTGCTTGCAAGATGGAATGACACAGCGGGTCCCATGGCTTCCAAGTGATCGGCCGAGTCCTCCAACGTCTCCCCATCGAGTCCCACCCGGGTCCCCCAGAGCCTGGAAGCTCCCTGGTGGGGCCACCCTCCAGCCCTCATGGCCCTAGAGCGCTGGAACATGCTGGTCCCTGGGAAGGAGGCGGTGGCGAGGACCCCTCCAGGGTTGCGAGGGGCATGGGGTTACAGGGCCAGCAGGGTGGGGGAGTTCAAGGAGTCTGACGACTGGTCCCCGCTGCTGCTGCTTCTGCGGTGAGCCTTGGAGCAGGACTCGGAGGGAGAGGCAGGCGGCTCCTGCTCCAGGACACTGGGGTAGGTGAAGACGAGGCTCGAGGTGCCCGGAGTGATGGCGGGCGTGGAGGTCACCACGACCGGGGTGTGCAGGGGCTCCTCCCCGTAGAAGCCTCCGGCGATGCTGATGGGCTTAATGACAGAGCGCTGGGCCTTGTCCAGCCCTGCCGAGGACGAGGGGCTGTCCTCCTCCAGGGGCTCCTGCTTCACCACCACAGCGCCCACTGCGCTGCCCCCACTGCGCATGGGCTGCAGCCCGGAGGCGGGGGGCGAGTGGCGCTCCTCTGGGCTGATCTTGCACACAGGGCCATGAGCCACCAACATGAACTCCAGCTTCTCCTTCTCCTTCTGCAGCTCAGCAATCTCTTTCTGCAGCCCTGATTTCTCCTCCTCTAGCTCCTCTGTCTCCTGCGTGGAAAAGAGAGGGATGTGAGGGACAGCGATCTGTCCAGCACCTCCTGGGGTCAGTGCCAGTCTAAGAAGAAAGGGAGAAGCAGCAAGGTCCTCAGAGGAGCTCCTGGGAGAGCAGCCAGCTCCCACACCCAGCCACAGACCTTACTGCCCCAGAGTCACACGGTAGCTCACAGCTCCTTTTACTTCCAAAGGAGGAAAGTTAGCTTGGAAGAGGAGTGAAATGGCCACAGCTGCCACAACTGAGCTCTTACTTTGTGCCAGACACTGTGTTAAGCACTCCACAGATCACCTCTTTGAATCCTCCAACAGCTTTTGAAAGCAGAAGCTACCCTCAACCCCTTTTTGCAGATGGAGAAACTGAGGTTTGCAGAGGTTTAATAATTTCCCCAGAGTCGCAGAGCTAGCAGGAAGGACAGTGCAGATGTGAATCCCAGTGTATCTAACTTCATAGTCTGGAGTCGCATTCTACTGCCCCCGGCTCCCCGAGGGCTAACAGAGGCTCCCATGGAGAAGGGAGCATGAAACGCAGCACCCCCGCCGGTGGCCCTGTGGACACAGACCTCGAACCTGGGTCTGTGCACATTCGGAAGCCTCAGTCTCTGGACTCACAGAACGTGGAGCGCGTTCAGCTCAGCCACAGGAAGGACAGAGGGGACACCTGGCAGCCTCTGAGGTCAGTTGCCCTGCAAAGACCTCAAACCACCCCCCTTTCCCACGAGTGCACACGGAAGGGGCAGCTGTGGGAGGGGAAAGGTGTGAGTCACCAACCTCCTCCCCACTTTTTCCCTAACTCGGGTTCCTGTTCATGAATGAGGAGATACTGGCAAGAGCTTCATTAAGCAGAGTGTAGCATATTCCGGAGTAAAAAAGTTTCCATCTGTCTCAAGGGTCTGATGAACGTCATGAGCTTGTGAGAGGCTTCCTGTGGAGGATGTGGCTCAGGGGCCTGGTGGCTGGGTCAGGGGCGGGGGAGGCTTTGGGGAGGTGGCAGGAAGGTAGAAGGACCTGGGGGAGGGCTCTTCTGGGGCTGGCGGTAAGAATGCCTCCTGAAGTCCCATCAGGAAGGTCAGCACTGGGGAGGCCTGAGCTGAGGTGCTGCCCGTGGCATGGCGCCCCCCTCAGCTGGGAGGGAGAACTGCAGCCGGCCTCCCTGGCTCCAACACCTCCGTGGGCCATTACTACCAGCATCACGGGAACACGCGATACACATTCAGTGCCTAAGCAGGGCTGCAGGAGGGACTGAGAGAAGTTCGAGCAGGGAGCAGTGCTGGGAGCACTGACGGCCCTGATGGGATGTACTGCAAAGCGCCTCTCCGGCCCGGTACTGTGAGGACCACCGACAGTCTCTGATCTCCACTCTGAAACATTTCCCTCTCGAGAGCCCCAGCCCTGATTTTGGGCTTCCTCACACAGGACTTGGCCCTCCCTGGCGGGCTGGCCCTGGAGGGAGTTATGTGACTTGGTCAGGTCAAGCGTACCAGAGGGAAGGGCAGGGCCATGGGCCCCCAGGTCTGGGCGATTAGGGAGCATGAGAGAGTGACTCAGACGGGCAGCATGAGGCGCCGAGGCTCATGACAGAGGTGGGGAACCCTGCTGCCGCCAAAGGAGATGAGAAACCCCAAGAAAATGCAAGTCAGCCTGCACATGACCTGTCGCCCTTGAGACTCCCCGCCCCCACCTACTCCAGCCAGAGCCCTTAGGCCAGGCTGGAGCCTCAGGGAGAGCCTGGAGGAGTGGGTCTGGATCTGCCCCGGCTCCTGGGGACGGGGGACACAGACACCCCGACAGCCCTCACCCAGAGGCCCCAGCAGGTCTGAGAACGCTCAGCTGTGACAAGAGACACCAGCCTACAGAGCTGTCCGTTCTTCTGTCCAAGCCCAGCCTAGTGGGAGAGGCCTGGTCCCCTCTGTCTTTCTTATCCATCAAAGGTGACCCATGTGCTCAGAGGAAGGGATGTCGCATCTCCACTGACTCAACCTCAAGGCACCTGAGCACAGGGAGCCCTCACACTGCCCGCCGAGAGCGCCCACCCTGGCAGAGCTCCTCACCGCCTGCAGCTTCTCGGTCAGCTCCCGGCGTCGGTTCCGGCACTTGGCAGCAGCCAGCTTGTTCCTCTCCCTCCGGATTCGACGCTTCTCTTCCTCTTCGGGAGACAGCTGGAGGCCAAGGTCAAGAATCATGATTAGGGCAAGGTGAATGGTTCAAGCATCTTTAAAAGCTGTATTTCAAATGCGGTAGTCAGCCCTTCCAGAACTGGGGAAGGGCAGGAGTAGGGCAAGAGGTTCCGGAACCTCCGGCTCACTATCTGGCTGCAGAATCTGCCCTGGAAGGTGATGTCACGTGTTTAAAGGGAGAACAAGGCAGCAAACAGGCAGGGACTCCGCGGCCCCTGCACCGCGGCAGCGTTTGTCATGTTAGCTCTGATTCAAGGCCCAGGCCAGAGAGGGGTCCCCTCCAGCTAGCCAGGCCTGGCCCCACCACGGCAGCAGCTGCCTGCACACCCTGGCTCATCTGCCCTCTCCAACGCTCTGCAGCTCTTCAGGCCTCATTATCTCCACTTGGGTAAGAAGCTGGGCCAGGAGTCCCACACAGGCAAGATCCTATGCGGCAGGAGGAAGACCAAGCGTGCTAGGTCCCACGGCCCACTCTTTTCCTTCACGCAGCAAACGAGCACTGTCAGACAGCTCCAGAGTCTTGGCGCTGGTTTGCAATCCAAAGGAAGATCCCTCTGCAGGGCTGAGGATCCAGCTCCTCACAAGGATGGTCAGAGAATTGTAAATTGGGCCAGCGGGTGAGAACCACCCTGCTAAGGGGCCAGGCTTGCCAGAGATGTGACCCCAGTGCTCTCCTCTCAAGCACAGGTGACCCAGAAAGGTGGCTGTGGACCAAAGCAGAAAGCGAGGTGAAGGAAAGACCTTCCCACTGCACTAGAGATCTCACCGCACACCTCCTAGGTGCCCAGTGCTAGAAGGGGCTTAGAATATTCAAGAGGAACCAGACCTGAGCATTACCCTCAAGGGACACATGGGAACGCTGAAGGCACTCCTGGGGGAGGGGAGGGAAGATGCTCCTACGGAGGGCACTGCCTGCACTGCTGCTCACCTCAGGAGGGCACGGGCCACTGTAGCGGCCCACCCTGGGTCACAGTCCAGAGATGCTCCTTGCTACCCTGGCCACCAGTTGCTATGATGTCCTGAATAGCAAAGCAAGGCACAGCATCAAAGAGGACGACTCCCAACTGTCTACCTGGCTGAGGTCACGAGGCCACTTGGCCAAGGTCCTGAACGCTTGCTGTCCTTAACTCTGTCTTGGCTTCAGCTCAACAGGGCCAGGTGCAAGACAGCCCAGGGTCCTGCTGAAGGCCTGAGTTTAGGACTCACCAGCCCCACCATCACAGCCCTGCCCCGCTCAGCCCGAAAGTCTGGGAAACACTCATTGCTAGGGGCAGAAAAAAGGAAGGGCTAACTTTGGTCCACTTCCAGCCTTCCTTCCCCCAGAAAACTCTGGGCCCCAGAAGTCTGTGCCCTGTCTGGTGAGGTGTAGCAACTTATGGAAGCTGTTGACACCGGAAGTGTTCAGGGGCGGTGAGATCAGCATGGTTACGGCTTGAGTGTGTCAGCACCACCACAGACCCACCCACAAGCCACACACACCCTCCTCTCCCTTCCTCGTCAGTCACCTCACCTGGGCCCAGAGCGAGCTTCCTGGGCAAGCTCCGGAGGGCCCTGGGGCCCCAGGCTGGCTCCTGGTAGAAGGTGGGGAAGCTGAGGCAGGCAGAAGCCTCACAGAAAAGACCCCAGGGTTAGGAACCTCAGCACAAAGGTTCCAGGATCCAGCTGCCCTGGCTTCCCCAAGGCCGTGATTGTCTGAACTCCCCACTGACACAGGAGAAAATTTTCCTGGTTCTCTCTCTTCCTCTTGAAAAAGGAAGGAAATTCTCTAGACAGTCTGTCTTAGGGCACAGCTAGGTGGTGTGGTGGGAAAACGCTCCGGGCTGAAGGTCAGAGAGGCAGATTCTAGTCCTGCCTGCCTATGAAATCACTGTGTCTCCGGACAGCGCCTTTCTCCTTTCTGGGCCTCAGTTTGTTTACCAGTGATGCACAGAGGACAATAGATGGTTTCTCAAGTCCCTTCCAGATAGAAACATCTAACAGTGGCATGAGGCAGCCCCAGCAGAAAGGCAGAGTGACCAAGGCATGTCTTGTTTTGTTGTCCTGCTGGCCAACAAGAGTCCCTCTCGAGCCTGGCTGTCACACGGTGTCATTTATTTACATCCAGGGAGAATCTGGCTCTTCAGTGACCATAAAGCTTTGACCTAAGACTCTCGTGAGAAACTTATTTATAAAGGATATCACGTTCACTGCTGCTGCAATATTTACAGCTGCAGCTATGGAAAGTAATGGTCATGGGCAGAGTGGTCCCTACCCCAGTGGCAGAGGCCCAGCATGTAAGCATGAGGTCTATTTATTACTACATCCTCCCACGGGCCTTGCGTTATTAACAGGTACTGGATACAAGGCCCATCTTTGTTCCCAGAGGAGCACAGGGCTCCTGAAAAAGCTTCCTGTTCCTTGGACTGGTTATCACTATAATTCTAAGCATCTTACTGGCCCTGGGTCCACCATTACCCACGGGGAACCATACTTAGAGGTCCTTTTACTGGGAGGTGGCGGCCCCCAGGGGTCCTAGAGTAGGATGGGTGGTTTGGAATAGAGAAGGGAGCCTGTGCTGGAACTGGGGTTCTCCAGGCTCACGTTTCACTTGAATAAGGGAGTCCGCTGCTGAAGCATTTGGCCTCTCCAGGGCTCATGCCTACAGGCAGAGCACTTCCAGGGAGTCCAGGGAACCGGCTCAGGGCTGTCAAGACCTGCTCACTCGCTTACCAAGTGAGCACAGCCAGATGGGCCTATCCTTGGCTGCATCAAATGCAAAGAGGGCAGATGGAGCCCTGTGAAGGCCCTGTGAAGGTTTCAGGAACCATGCATGGTTCTGATTTTTCTTTCAGGAACCATGGGGTTCAGTGCTGCCCCAGCTCACTGTGGATGCAGGTGATAGGACTTCTGAATACTGAGATGCTTCCTAAAAGGCAGGGACCTCGCCATTTTCTGACTTCCTTCCCTGCCACGTTTGCCCTCTTTCAAAGCCGAGCCCCACACCCACATCAGCTAAAGCAACTGGACAGCTCCTGAGGCCCTGCCCAGAGTCACCTTGCTTCTGGGACATATAGAACTTTCCGGGCACCTGAAATGGGTTGCTGCTGTTGAGTCAAAGGCCCACCGAGGAAGATCGGGAAGTCGTGTGGGCAGTACCAGCCCTGAGTGTGACGCTGCAGGTCTGTTGGGTGCCTGGTCTGCTCCAGATACTGGGAGACAGATAAGGGCCAATCCAAAACAGCTCACAGCCACGGTCTGGGGTGCTCACTCCGTGACCTCTGCCAAGGCTCAGAGCAGGATCCTGCTGCAGGCAGTCAGGATGGTCCTTCCTATCCACTGACACATGATACCTACAGTGTGCTTTTCCACATGTGATCTCCCAAGAGCACCAAGTTCCAGCTGGCAGAAACCACTGTGCCCACTTTGCAGCTGAGGAAACTGAGGCTCTTCTAAGGGACACAGGTGAGATGACTCAGGTCTGCAGCTCTACTTCTGATAAAGGCATTGCCTTGTCTCCCCTTTTTGTCTGGGTCTCTGGCCTCACCACTGCACCCAGAACATTAATGCTGCTCCCCATCGGTCTGCAGAAAAACATTCTGTGCTTATGAGTTCCCGCGGGTGACAACATTAACATGGCTCCTCACTGCTGGCCTGAGCTGTACCTGCTCATCTCTCCTCCTGCGGCCCACGGTGGTGCCAATGGTCTTGATCACGCCGGGTCTTGGGAGGGCCATGTGTCCAGGCACAGAAGCCAGGCCCGGTAGGGGGCTGTAGGGGTGCGAGCGGGGGTAGGGGTTGGACATGGAGGTGATCACTGTGGGCTGCACCATCCACTGCAGGTCCTGGCTGGTGGTGATGGCATTGATGGTGGGGATGAAGGCACTGCCCGAGCCAGGCATATCTACCCGGAACTTCTGAAACGAGGAGAAGGGTATGATGAGCCAATAAACAGTGAGCAGCACAGGACAAGCAGAATGGAGGAGGCAAAAACCGAAGACAACATGGTCAGTGCTTGGAGAGCAAGGTCAGGGCCCCAGGTGGATAGATCCTGCGTAGGTGCCACACATCCAACGATCAGGAGGATCTCAGCTACTCCTGGGCCTTGGATCTGCTCCCTGACCAGGGTCCTCAGGACTTCATCCCCAGGTGGCTCAGCGAGGACGCTGCCATAACCCAAATGACTCCTAAGACACCCACGATGCCCAGCCGCTCACACCCACCCTGCGGCACTCCAGGGCACACATCCGCAAGACAAAGCACCCAGGCCTCCCAAGCCTCTGAGTCCCCTGCTAATCATTCTCCAGGACACTAGCTCAGAACACCTCAACCTGGAGACCTGCATCCCAGCAGCTTTGGAGCAATAAAGGTCTCTGCGAAGCACACGGTGTCTGCATCCATCACTTTCCAGAGAGGTTCAAAATGGGCTAGGACTCCATCAGGTCAAGGCTGTGAGAACGTGTCCTTCGGCCCACGAGCCCGGTTATCTGCAGCGAAGCTTCCTCTTGCAGTCCCCATCCTCCTTGCTTCCCTTTAGCAGCACCTCTCACGGGCCGGACATGCTCTCTCTACTTATCTGCACATCTGTCTGTCTGGTTCACATATGTGCCTACAGGAAACCAGTGCTGCCAGCTCAGAGTTTTCTCCTTGTCCCTTCATTTATCCCCAGACCACACTGCAGAGCTCTCTGGAACACGCTGCAGGAAGCTTTCCACTTAAACATCAGATGATGACAGGGAACAGAAATGAAAATGGGCTGCATTCCTCAGCATTTGCGCTCAACCTTTCTCCACGGCAGGGCAACGAGGAAAAAGGGGAGTCCCCCCACCCTTGCAGCATTTCAGGAGAAATGCCCCAATGGAAACCAGGTAAATCCTCCCCCTCAGATGAAGTCTGCACCCATAAAAAGGTTCTCTGGGTTTTACCCCCTTAATCTGGTGGATGAAATGATGACAAAAACAATAGCCAGCACGTACTAAATGACTGGCACCATGCTAATATCTCACCTGGATGACTCATTAATTCTCCCTCTAGGGTAAGAATGACTACTACCTTCATTTTCAAGGCAGAAATTCAGTCTGAAAGAGATTAGGTAACTTATCCGAGGCCACACAGCTCATAAGCAGTGGGGTCAAGATTCAAACCCAGTTCAGTGTAACAGAGGCTGGAGCTCTCAACACGGTGCCAAATCAGTTTCTTTAGCATTGCTTCTTTCTTCCTCAAAATTCAGCTCTAAGCAGTGGTATCCCCCACTGTCCTTGGACAGCGTCCTTCAGATCACCCTTGCCAAGGGTCCCAACAGACCAAAAGGTCCCACAGATCTGTTTGGCCCCCAGTGAGATGCTGCTGTCATTAGCGTGGATACCATAGTATCCTCTGATCTGGTCCAGTGAGACCAGCCGGGATTAGAAGCATTAGCAGCTGCCACCACTGTTATTTCCAGCATGGGTGACAATAGCTGGGTTTCTGCTGGGTAAATAAAATGAACCTCAGAGTATCTCACTGTCATTGGCAGAGCTGGGAGTCCTTCCTCGCTCACCTCCCTGGCACCCATCTGACCCCAGTCTGGACAGTGGAACATAGCTGCCTCACCTCCTAGACTTCCCCAGGGCACCAAGCCAAGGGCTCTCGTGAAGAGAGCTGCCTAGTGCAACACATTTTTATAAGAAGAGCTGTCAGAGCAATGGATTCTGGGATTCCTGAGGGCAGCTGCGCAGAGCGATAGATTTTGAGCTGCACCTCTGAAGACAAATATAACTGGGCTTTTTACCACAAGCTGACTGAAAAGAAGCAGGTGTGTGTGGAGGGAAGCACACAGAGAACAAGACAGGATCCAAGTGGGAAATGATCTCCAAGGAGGAAAAGTAGACGGCCAGGGCTGGGCGGCTGGATTGGGAGGAGGCAGAGATGTGAGAACAGCGGGCATGGCCACAGGTACATAGAAGCACCGCATCCAGACGGCAGCTCTTCTCTCGGGATGCTGGGTGGGAGGGACGGGAGTCACTCTGTGCCTGGAGCTGGAGCCAGGAGGCCTGCCTTAGCCATGAAGGGGTTTGCCCTGGGCCAGTTCCTGCGGACTCCAATCCAGGACAGAAAGGGGAACACTGACACCCAGCTCCCTGCACTGTCATGAGGACAAAATAAGTAGCCACTTGTAATCACAGGCTGCGCCTCAAGCCCGGCTGCACACTGGAGTATGCTGAGGAGCTTGTCAAAAACACCGATGTCTCAGCCTCATCGTGAGAGTTCTAAAATAACTGGGTCGGAGTTCTGATAAAGCTATTTTTTTTTAACTCCCAAGGGATTCTAAAGTGCAGGGTTGAAACACTGAGCTCTACATGAGCAGCACTGACTATCACGGCCGCCACTGTCCTCAGGGCGGCATCACGGCATGGGTCTGTGTACCTGGCACAGGATGGCTCCAGGGAGGAGAGCCAAGCTTCCACTCCTGGGAAGCACCCAACTTTTATATTCTGTGTCTCTCCCCAAGTGAGGTTCCGGGGTTGAAGTACATGCAGGGCACCCTTGAACTAATTGTGACCCGCCTTCCACAGAGGAGCTGTCAGCTCTCCTTCCAGGAAAGCACCCAAGAAACTCGCTCTCTCCAACAAACAAAAGTGTACCTGTTTTAGGATTGGGAAAGCAAGCAAAAACCTGAAGCAAAGCGGGGAGACTAAGATTACTTAGGGATGGGGTCTGCCTCTCAGCCCCCCACAATACAGACGGCAGGTCCTTAGGTTCTTGGAACGTGCTTCCCAGTATACATCAGCCAGCTTCCTGACAGCAATGGCTGGGTCTAGACAAAACAAGACAGCAATAAAAACAAGGCAGGAGGTAATGACTGCCTCTGAATCGCATGTACACCTTGTTTCAGACAGGAGGTAAAGCCATCTGGATAACACACTGGCTCCAAACTGCAAGGAAAACAACGTCCCATCCCCAGAGGGGACTAGGGCCTGATAAAGAAGGCTTTTGTCTCCAGAGGAGCCTCTCTGGGAGACACACAAAAGTTTCAATTAAATCTGGCAGATGGGCCTTGTCTCAACTCCAAATGTATCATTCAGAAAGCTCTACTGGGCTAGAAGAAAAGAGGTGAGGTTAGGAGTTTGTGGTCCCAAAAGTTAGCCTGGCGGTCTTCTAAGTCAACAGGCCCAAGAACCAGGCAGCATCCTGTGTGGATAAACCACGGCTCCCCGTGTGTTAACATTTAACCAGGCTGCTGCACCAGGGCAGTTTTGCATGCTGCGGTACCAGGAGCTTGTGGGCAGGGTGGGTGGGGAAGGCGACCTGGCTGCCCCGCACTCTGCAGCCCCTAGGAAGCTCCTTTTCTAGGGACAGGGCTGAAGATACTGGATGCGTGTGCCGCATTCCAGCCTGGCCAAGCCTCCAGATACTTTATTTAACTGTGTCACCCTGTCTACTTCTGGGTACATAGCTATAAAAGGACAAAACAGCCCCCACAGACCTCCTAGAGCTGAATCTGGTAAGCTTGGCTATGATGGCCACGCAAATACTTCAGGCCGTGTGGGCCACGCAGTCTATGTCGCAACTCAGCTCTGCCACCATATCATGTGGAAAGCCATAGATAGTAAATATGTAAGCAAACAGGATGCCCGGACTTCATTAAACTTCATTTATAAAAATAGCTTGCCGGGCCGGAGACTTAGCTCAGTGGTACTGCCGCCTGCTTTGAAAGCGTAAGGTCCCGAGTTTGAGCCCCAGTAGCAAAAAAAAAAAATTGTTTGCCAACCCCCATCCTAGAAGATCATTCTCACCTCTTAGGCTCAGGTCCTCCAACCCAGGGAGCCCAGGAAGATGGGCCTCCCTCATCAGCTTGGGCCTCCAAACCCCGAGCCCAAGTTCTAGCCCTTACAAGCTGTGTTGTGGGTCTTTGAGCATGGGAATCTCAGTTCACCCTAGAGCACCCTGTGCCTGGAGTGCCACGGGCTGAGTATTGCGTGCCATCCCATTCCCAAGAGGAAGCAGGGAACACAGGGCCAACTCCAGTGGGCTAGAGAAGTCCTACAGTCATCCACTGCTAACTTGGGAAAACAGTTTTCGGGGACTCTGCAGGAAGGCTCTGAATTCAGACAGGAGGCTCACATCTGTGGCCTTTTGCTGAATGGTCACAGAATGAGTGTTTAGGCCCCCACTACCCAAGGCACCCCTTTCCCACAGAGGGCTTATCCCAAGGAAAAGGTATTTGACCTCGAAGCCATTGTTGGTGCTCCTGGCCTGCCTGAGTGGCCGAGGACTTCTCCATCAGACCAACTCCCTCCAGGAGCCCCCAGCCCTCCACACCCTGAGTCCTGTGTACACTGGTACACTCTGATGTGTACCATCAAGAAGGCGGGTGTGAAGTCTGGGAAGGGACTAGGCTCTTTCTCTTGTTTTTAGATTCCCAAGATGAAGAAAGGAAAATTCCAACATCTCAGAAGACTGGCTCCAGGAAGAGAAAGGGTAAGAAGAGCAAATGCTTTCTTAATGTTTCCCATGCTATCCCTGTCATGGTCCAACACCAATACAATGAAAATGCTCCGTGTTCTTATCAAAGCCAGGATACCCTCCAAGGCTTTCAGTGTGAAACTCGACCAGGCCTCACAGAGTGCGCACGGGACAACACTCACTCCACATCCAACCTTTCATTCTTTTCTGAGGAAATGCGCTTATGTCACAATGGAAGTTGTCACTAGTAACTCATGATTTCCAAAGTCTTATTGTACAGAAAGCTTTCTCAGCATCACTCGAAAGAATCACTCAATCCTCTATGACCTCACTGCTTAGGTGAAAAAAGCAAGGGAGAAAAGAAAGAGATAACCGCTGATACGGAAACCTTCGGGTTTCCTGGATTACTTTTTGCCAGGGTCCTTCTGGTCAGAGACTCTACTGCCAAGCACTGGAGAATTCACTCCACTGTGCTGGGCACCTCTTCCTGCTGCCACCAATCCTCTGAGCACTGCGCTCAATAGGAAGGCTAACATCTCATCTTCCTTTAGAACTGCAGGATGTCAGCCACATCACCGGACTGAGAGGCAGGGCTGGGAACTCTTATATCTTCCCCCTCCAGCCCAGGGAGCTGAGGAGGGGTAGGATTACTGAGTGGGGTTTGGTACAGATATATTTACCTCAATCAGAGCAGCTGTCACCGTTGTGAAATGCTGTGGCCACCAAAAGCTACTATATGAGACCGGTCTACAAAATAATGATGCTATTTTTTCTTTCTTTCAACATATAAACCAGAAAGTTTCCCTAATTCTGAAAACCAATATCTCTATTCCTGTTTAACAGAGTGGGGGGGGGGGACTAAGGTATAGATGGCAAAGGCACTGGCACCAGAGGGGCCTGCTTTGGTGCAAGAGGAGGGGGCTGTTTCCCAGGCAAACCGCCAAGACTGAGAACCACAGGACCCGGGGTCACACTCTAATTTGGACCCAGCCCAGTCACCCAGACTTTATACATCAGACTTGGTTTCCCAAAGTTCATTTGGTAATTTCTGAATGTCTAAGTCACTCTTAGGGGGCCAAAGATGTTAGGAGGGAGGATTTCCGAAAGAATATGTTGAAAACAATTATAAAAGAGGGACACTACAAAATTTTTCCGAGTCTGACCGTAGCCACAACACTCAAGTAAGTATTTAGTCTCCTAAAGGATCAAGGGTGAAGGGCACAACAGTGATTTAGATGTATAAATTCTGACGTGTTCGTATTAAGATAGAAGAGGAGCAGAAACAGGTTTCCTATTTTACATTCACCTTGAACAATAAGGCAGGCAGGAGGAACACTGTAATGGAGATGCATTCAGGGTCTTAGACATGAAAATTCAACTGCCACTCAGACAACACATGATTGCTATTTCACCCCACTCACTTTGATGAAAACGTGGGGCTGACTTCAACCACCAAGAAGCAATGGAACAGACAAATTCCTGGGATAGCATTTTGATCCTAATCTAC